CATTTCTTTAAGGACTTGCCATAGTTTGCTGTGGCCCACACAGTCAAGGGCTGTGTAGACAGTGAAGCAGAAGTACAGTGGTGCCTCGCATAGCGACGTTAATCGGTGCAGCGAAAATCGCTGCAAAGCGATTTCGTCGCTATGCGATTTAAAAAACCCCATAGAAATGCATTGAAAACCCTTCAACGCGTTCCTATGGTCTTAAAACTGACCTTTAAGCGTAGATCCTCCATATGGCGGCCATTTTCGCTGCCCGGTAAGTGAGGAATCCGTCCCTAAACACAGCGGCCGGCCATTTTGTTTACCAGGCGGCCATTTTGAAATGGCGATCAGCTGTTCAAAAATCATCGCTTTGCGATAATCGGTAAGTGAAACAGGGTACCGATCATCGCAAAGCGATTTTTTCCCATTTAAAACATTGCAATGGGATCGCAAAAGCAATCGCAAAAAGTTCATCGGTATGCGATTTTGTCGTTAAACGGGGCACCCGTTAAGCGAGGCACCACTGTAAATGTTTTTCTGCAACTTTCTGGCTTTCTCCATCATCCAGCACATGTTAGCAGTTTGGCCTCTAATTCCTCTGCCCTTTCGAAATCCAGCTTGTACTTCTGGGAGTTCTGGGTCCACATACTGCTGAAGCCTACCTTGGAGGATTTTAAGCATAACCTTTCTAGCGTGTGGTAAAGGTAAAGGTTCCCTTTGATATTTAGTCCAGTCGTGTCCGACTCTAGGGTGCAGTGCTCATCCTTGTCTCCAAGCCGTAAAGCCAGTGTTTGTCTGTAGACGGTTTCCATGGTCACATGGCCAGCACGACTAGACATGAAATGCCATTACCTTCCCACCGCGGTGGTACCTATTTATCTACTCGCATTTACATGCTTTCGAACTGCTAGGTTGGCAGGAGCTGGGATAAGTGATGGGAGCTCACTCCCGTGGATTCCATCTTATAACTGCTGGTCTTCTGACCTTGCAGCACAGAGGCTTATGCGGTTTAACCCACAGCGCCACCATGTGTGAAATGAGTTCAATTGTACAGTAGTTGGAGCATTCTTTGGCGCTGCCGTTCTTTGGGATTGGGATTTAGACTCATCTTTTCCAGTCTTCTGGCCACTGCTGAGTTTTCCAAACTTGCTGGCATATTGAGTGTAGCACCTTAACAGCGTCATCTTTTACGATTTTAAGTAGTTCAGCTGGAATGCCATCACCTCCACTGGCCTTGTTGTTAGCCATGCTTTCTAAGGCTCACTTGACTTCTCTCTCCAGGATGTCTGGCTCAAGGTCAGCAACCACATTATCTGGGTTGTCTGGGATATCCAAATCTTTTTGGTATAGTTCCTCTGTGTATTCTTGCCACATCTTCTTGATGTCTTCTGCTTCTGTTAGGTCTGTTAGGTACATATTAAATGCATATGGGCAAACGAGCAATGGCGGCAGGACCAACTGCCTGGCTTCCAGAAGAAGATTTGTGCTCCTGTCCCATGACAAAAGGGTCCCGCAGAAGGAATGGGGGAGTAGGGCTCAGCCGCCCGTGCACCCTTACTTCCTGGGCTGGGCAGGTGAACCCCTCTTGGCACGCCCTCCGAGCAAACTCTTAGAGCCATCCTGCCAGGCCTGGCAGCTGTCCACCATTGGTGATGCAGCCTGAGGCCTGGCTTCTGGGATGATGCCATCCCACTTCGTGTCCGCTTCCCGACGTGCTGCATATACGGTAAGTGAGGACAGTCCGTTGAGACCCGTGTCCCCATTCCCAGCTTTTGCCCTGCTGGTTTCTTCCCTCACCCTCCCAACTTCCACATGTTTTTTTAATTAGCTGATGCCTGTTTTCTGCCCCATAGCGCCAATCCCCACGTTGAAGCCGAGTTACAGAGAAGGGTAAGGGAGCGGAAGGATGTCATCTGTTTTCCGGAGGGGCAGTGGCAGTAGCCTTGGGAGGAGTGACCTGTGGCCTTCCAGAGGTTGCCAGGGAGCAGCTCCCAACATGGACGATCACATGGGATTCTGGGAGGTTCAGTCCAAGCACATCAGGAAGGCCCCAGGTTGCCTACCCGTGGTTCTGAGGATTGGTCCCGTGCTGGGGAGCTGAGGGAGTGAGGAATACTGCCAGCCTGTGTGGGCCCGTTTTCCTTCAAAGAAACAGCCTAAACGTGCTTGCAAGGCAGACAGTCCTTTTTGCTGTTCTGGGGCTGGCATTTGCTTCTTTGGGTTTGGTGGTGGGTCGTCTTTCAGTTTTGTCAGGCCCTTGGGGCAAGAGAGGGTGTAACTTGATAGGGAGCATTTCCAGATAACAGTCCATTTGTTCCTTTTAGATAAGTGCAGTGGTCTGTTCACTTGTTTTATTTTATTTGTTACTTTTATATCTCCCCTCTTTTCTCATGGGATTAAGGCAGAATGCAGGGTCTCTTTCACATAATCTTAATAGCCATAGAGCTGGGGTCATGTTAAAAGGGAGTGTTGTGGGACAACAGTCCAACAGGATGATGACTGGCCCAACCACAGTGTTGGGAGTTTCATGGCTCAGTGAGGACAAAGATTTGCAGTTTCTGAGTCTGAGATTTTAATAGTGAGCACTACTCCAGCAGAAGGAGGATTTCCATGACATGTCATATTTCTTCTGCAACTTACCTTAGAGTTTATGGGTGGTTTTGAACATGTTTACGAGTAACTGGTGAAAAAGGACAGATTACTCATAAACATGTTTGAATTTATGGTTTCAGATACAGGTTGCAGAGAAAATGTGAAACATCATAGAAATCCTCACACTATGATCCGTATATCCATCTCCCCTCCCACTGTGATTCACCTGTCTAGTTTCCATAGGCAATAGTTAGGGTTATTCTGAAACATTTCCAGAGATTGCAGGTCTGTGATGCTTATATTTCTTTTTCCAATATTTTGTTTTAGCTGCTTTCAGATATGTGTGTGGAACAAATTCTTGTTCCATTGTCCCATCTGTTTGCTTCAACTGTTTCATATTTGCATCTGCCTTATCTTATCAGCACTGTTTTTTTCCTGTAGCTCTCAAGTATTTCTAAATGCAGGAGGGCATAAAGTGGTGCTCCTTAAAATATTTAGTTTAAGATGTAGCAGACAGGAAGAACTAATGTTTTATGAATTACCTTCATTACCAAGGGGCTGGCACAAGTTGTTAAATGGCATGATAGTGATGTGTGCATCATATATTGGTGCTCCTATTTCTGTGTGGCTTTTTAATCTCAAAATATTCTACATGATATGTTTCTCTGGCGATTCTAAGGCTGAAGCCAGCTGCTAATAGGCAGGCAGTGTTCTCCCAGCAGGGAGAATAGAAAGGTGGATTGAGGACACCAGGCAATTACCATTGTCACAGAAAATATCATGGGATCTCAGCAAGCAAGACAGAACAGCATTTTAAAAGCTTTATCTTAAAAGAAACATGTGTGCAATCTGATAATGGAGGTCTGAAAAGCTGAGGTGGCCCTGCTGAGATGAGATCCACCCACCCCCCACCCCACCCCCAGAAATCTGATTTTTTCAGACCTAGGAGAGAAACTGCAAGTCTTTCTGTAGCAGGAAAAAGTGTAAAAAAGGTGCTAATTCATGCCATAGTAAATTGTTTCAAATTAATTCACATACGTGAACATCAGTGTCTTTATGCTTTTCCTCCATGGAGAGTAATGGGAATGGGAAATATTCATTGAATTTCTTTCTGCCTGTGCCCCTGGTGGATTTAATTTTCACAGATAAGGAAATTTTGACTTGTGATAGTGACCCTGAACATGCATATTTGGTATGCTTTACCTCTGTTGATACGTGGTTCCAATACATGTTGTCCAGGGTTGCAGTCCTGTAGTCTGATTCCGGTACATGTTCACTTGGAAGAAGGTCTTGTGTAATGGGCTGGGAATTAAATGACTTGCTACAGCACACTGGCAAAAGAATAGGACCCTTGTTTATGGATGGTTATATAGTATGTTCTTGAGCACATTGACTCAGAAATAAGTAGTACTGAAATGGAGCAGTCTCAAAAGTGTCTACAGGAATTTTGGGGAGCATAGTGATATGTTAGCCTGATTTGTATGTATAGCTCATGACTACAGGGAAGCTGAAATCTCTACTATCTCTGTACTTCAAAATAATACATTTAGTGTTCTCCCTCCCTCCCCAATATTCATGAACAGTATTAAAATAAGCAGTGTAATACTTCACACAAATATGTGCTGGATGACTGTGTTAATTTCTTTTTTACTTACATAGGATCATGCCCAAGAAAGGAGAGATACGGCCTAGCACAGAGAAGGAATCACATTTGCCATGCAAACAGGCAAAAGTGGAAGCAACCTGCCCTTTACTTTGGAAGTATGACCACTCAGAGAGTTTGTTTGAGTGTTTGATCTCTCCTATCAAACAAGATGTATTCTTCAGAGAATACTGGGAGCAGAAGCCGCTATTGCTTCAGAGAAATGACCCTTCTGTGGCATTGTACTACCAGTCTCTATTTCCATTAAGTGACTTGCAAGACATAGTCAAGCAGGGTTTATACTATGGAAGGGACATTAACATCTGCAGGTGTGTGAATGGGAAAAAAAAGATTTTTAACAAAGATGGCAAAGTCAGCTACACACAGCTGAAGAAAGACTTTGATCAGAAAAAGGCTACAATACAATTTCACCAGCCCCAAAGATTTAAGGTAAGGTTCCAGCAATTCTCTGTAGTGTGAAGTTGATTTTGCAACTGTAACCTTGGCTTGACATACAGGTAACAAGTGAGCAGGCTGTGAAATTGTATGTGCCTGTTCTCTGCCAAGAGTTAAGGCTACATGTGACTCGCTGACCTGGATTGAAAAGTGTCCAGGGACATATCTAATTTGATTATGAAGCTGTGGATTGCTCAAGTTTTATAATATTGTATATCATCTGCTTCATGCACAGTTGCTTTTTTATTGAAATCACAGGAGTTAGAGAACTAATTTCAACTCATTGAACTGGGGATCACTTGGTAAAGAATGGAAATATAGTGTTTTAATACAGAATTTTGGAACTGAGGAAAATATTAGAACAGTGTATCTGCTGTACAGATTTGATTGAGAATGAAGATTGTGTCTTTTAAAACTATCATTGTTAGTGCTAATGTGGTTTTGTAAACACAAAATTTTTCACTACAGTGGGGTCTTGACTTAAGAACGGCTTGAGTTAAGAACATTTTGACTTAAGAACCGCTCTCATAGGAAAATATTGACTTGACTTAAGTACTTAGATTTGAGTTAAGAACTGAAAAAAACCCACGTGGGAGGCAGGGAAAGTGCAAAATTTGAACTTTCAGTTAACTGTTGGCCAGTGAAAAGGGTGCCTGTCTGCTTCCTCACTCCTCCCAGCGTTTAGAGAGTGGATTGGGAGACAGTCTTCGGACTGCCTGGTACTACCTGGACTGTATTTTCCCTGCCTTCCCTGAACCTTTCTTGACAAGAAAAAAAGAAACAAAATATCCCCCTCTAGTGGTCGAAGGCAGAATAGCAGCTTCCCATTAGTTTCTATGGACCGAAAAGAGCAGATATGGATCAAATGGTTTTCAGTGCATTCCTATGGGAAATGCAGATTTGACCTGAGAACTTTTTGACTTGAGAACCGCCTTCCAATACGGATTAAGTTCTCAAGTGAAGACCCCACTGTACTTTATATGCACTGCAGTTTTGGAAGCTATGATAATCAAGCATCAATTGATAGACTTGCCGATCTGTTCCAAACAGCTGCCTATGCTGCCTTTTAGGGGATGCTCTGTTTCTGCTGGTTTTTCTATGAAAAAAAAAACTTTGGTTGAAATCCAGTAGTAGGTTGCTGATAGAGTAGGCCCATTGAATCACTGGCAGTTACAGAGGACTTGACTCACCAAATCCTGCTGATTCTGTGGACCTACTTCAATTGTGACTTACCACTGAATTTCAGATATTAATTCAAGAATATTTGTTGTGTTTGAGTAAAAATGATAGTAACTGTATGAATTTTGAGCATTTGTGTATGCATTTTGTTTGTTTAGTGTTATTTACAGTTGTGTGGTATGTATTAATAGGATGATACTTGTGAGGGAGCTATGGTTTATGGAGTTAACACTATGTCTGTAACATCTACGGAGTGAGTAGAGGGTTATCAAGTTTTAAAGTGCTGGGAAATGCACCAACTGGGCTCGCTTATTTTGAGACTGGATTGTTTGTATCACTGTTCCCAGATAAGGAAGAAGCTAAGTCTTGACCTTGAAAATTCGTCTCAACTGGAGTTGAGCTAATTAAGCAACTTGATTGGTACAGCTAGGGCCAATTACAGGAAGACACATGACTGGTTGGTTTATGGGCTTGTGGTTGGTGAGATGAAGGATTTGAAGTAAGAAAGAACAAAGACACCCTCCATCTTGTATCATCATCATGGGCTGGTCATCATGATGTAGCATTCTTGTGTCATGCTAGCATGCTGTCGCCTACGAAGAACTTGTACATGTCTGTGAACATAGCTTAGAGCAGTGGTTCTTAACCTTTGTTACTCAGGTGTTTTTGAACTGCAACTCCCAGAAGCCTTCACCATCAGCTCTGCTGGCTGGGGTTTCTGGGAGTTGCAGTTCAAAAATACCTGAGTAACAAAGGTTAAGAAGCACTGGCTTAGAGAATTAGCTTTTCTTTGTTTTCTTTGGGAACAGCCTTGAGCTCTAACTGATGATTTTTTAAAAATTAATTGCTGGAATTAATGGAACCTTTTGGCTATGCTATGCCCCCTTTTTTCTTTTTAATAAAACAATATTTTTTTTAACTGAAGCTGTGGTTGATTCAGACAACTGTGAAAGATTTGAAGGTGCTAATCCAGTGTTTGAGAATGCTCAGAGATTCAGAAGTATTTTGGGTTATTTCATTTTCTGTGCAGGGTTAGTTTGCAACTAGGAGCAGCAATCTGCTGCTTGTGTATTTTCTCTGAGTTCCCTGGAGTAAGGGGCTCAGAGTGTGCTAGGGAAAGGCATGGGCCTTAGCAGGCATTTCCTGACCATTAGTACACTAGCCTCCTGGACGTGACCCATCCAGGCAGAGAAGGTAGTATGCCTGAGTGGTGAGAGGAACACCTCTATGTAACCCGTGGGTAAATAAAATTTTTTCACAATTTATTTATTTGATTTATATACCGCCCATTTGGCAAACAACTAGACAGAACAGCAAAGTAACAGAATAAAACAATATCAGTACATTAAAAAGTGCAAATTAAATACCATAAAATGCAGTGGCGACAGAAATACAATACAAGAAATTACAATTAAAAGCATCAAAATGGAAAGAGTGCCCCCCCAAAAAGGGAGGCACCTAGACTACAGACGGGGGGGCACCCGCAGGATTTTTGTCTTGTCCAGGTTCAGCCTCAGTCTATTATCCCTCATCCATCCCAGCACTGCATCTAGGCAGTGCTCAAGGGATGGGACAGCATCCACTGCAGAAGGATGGAAGGAGAAATAGAGCTGAATGTCATCCGCATATTAGTGACAAAAAGCTCCAAAACTCCTGATGACCTCCCCCAACGACCTCATATAGATGAGATGATTGACCCCTGCAGGACTCCGGAATTGAGAGTCCACAGAGTGAACAGCATCTTTCCAAGCTGAACTCTCTGAGGATGTTCCTCCAGGAAGGACTGAAGCCAGCCCAAGGCCTGACCACCAATCCCCAACCCCGAGAACCTCCCCAGGAGGATACCGTAGTTGATGGTACCAGTGGCTCAAAGGCCACTGATAAGTCCAGGAGGACGAACAAGGACGTTTTGTCCCTGTCGCCATCCCTCAAGAGGTTATCCTGCAGGGCGACCAGTATCATCTCCATGCCGTGACATGGCCTGAACTGGAGTAGATCAAGGGCATTGGTTTCCTCCAGGAGAGCTTGAAGCTGGTCAGCCACCACTCTCTCCACCAGCTTGCCAATAAAGGGGATACTGGTGACTGGGTGATAGTTGTTAATATCATCAGACACCAGTCTTATTCTAGGAATATTCTTTACATATTCAGATCTTGATAGTGAGCTTCTTTTTCTTCATAGAGAGAAGAGCTTTGCCTGATATTTCACTGACTTACCTCTTCACACTTATCCATATCATAGCTCAGGCTTTTCACTGTGAAGGAGGAGGAGGAGGGGAAGGATCTTCCTCCTAACTTCCTTCTCACAAGTTTCCCTCGCTTCCATGAATTTAGTCTGAGAATTATAATTTGCCAAACTCCTGCAGTATAGGATCTGTTCAAATAGATTCAGAACCCCATGGACCAGAGCACGCCAGGCCCGCCTGTCTTCCATTGCCTCCCGGAGTTGGGTCAAATTCATGTTGGTAGCTTCGATGACACTGTCCATCCATCTCGTCCTCTGTCATATGGCACAACAGCTGTATGTGCCAACAAGCTCCTTTTTTCCCCTAAGGGATGGTGCACGGTTTGCTGTTTGCCTTTTTGTCATGTAGGTCATTTGTACATCCCAATTAGAATGTTATATCTGTTTGGAACCATACAGTATAGGCATGATGAATAATGAGGCTGGGAGGGGAAGGTCACTTACCCTTACATACTGACATGTCTGTTTCTCTCTTCCCTGCTCTCCTTTTAAGGATGAACTCTGGAAGATCCAGGAAAAGTTGGAATGCTATTTTGGTTCACTGGTTGGATCTAATGTTTACATTACTCCTTCGGGGTCCCAAGGCCTGCCTCCACACTATGATGATGTTGAGGTAAGGGGGACCTATGACCTATGATTGCACATCATAAATGTTTTCAAAAGTACAGTAAACTTTACTGTAAAAAAAAAATCAGAAATTGAATCTTTAAATGTTTTTGTCCAACCTTCTCTAAATTCGGCACAGAGCAAGCCCATAGTGTCTTCTGTTACTTTGCCAAATATGGTTGTGATTCGAGAACCCATTTAAAAGTTAAGATGCACTATTTGGACTGCCCTGTCCTGTTAGAAATGGCTTATGGTGGTTGTTTTGACTAATGGTGCAACATCAGTGGTGCTTTCCTGGGAACCTCTGTGAAAGGGGATTATATCTTGACATAAGACCCTCTTTCAGTGTTACAAAGAGATGTTTTGCTACTCATTGGCTTGTGTGCTTTCCAGGTTTTTATCTTACAACTGGAAGGAGAGAAACACTGGAGGCTCTACCAGCCTACTGTACCTCTTGCACAAGAATACAATGCTGAACCTGAGGAGAGAATTGGAACTCCAACACATGACTTCCTATTAAAGGTATTAGTGCTTCCTTTCCCTCCATGCTAAGCCATAGAGAAAGATAGATTTGTTTTTGATACAGTGCTTCCTTAAACATCTTCAAGAAACATTTCACTTGGGTTTTTTTTCATCCCAAAGGCCCCATTTTCGCACATCTGATCGGCGGTTCCAAAATGGCCGCCCGCTGTGTTGCCTCGTTTTAGAGGCACCGAAAATGGCCGCCCCATGGAGGATTTTCGCATAAGGTGAGTTTTTAAGCCCATAGGAACACATTAAACACGTTTTAATGTGTTTCTATGGGCTTTTTAAAATCGCTTAGCAATGAAATCACTTAGCGACGTTTTTTCCTGCACGGATTAATGTCGCTAAGCGAGACACCACTGTATTATATCATAATATTTAATGAGTTTGCAGCTACCATGAAAAACGTGTGTAATGATAGTGAATTAATTTCTCCTTCATCTGAATTGTGCAGTTTAAATGAAATATTATATACACGGTATAGTTTGCATACAAGATTTTGGATGAAAGTCGTGCTATAGTATAGCTCAGCATGAGACTGAAATCATTTTGTTGCAGGACAGAACTGTATCTTCAGTGGTTTGTATTTTTTTTGTTACTGAAAGTAATTTTTTTTTGTTTTTGCAAGCATAGCACTAAAACAGTTGAAATAGCTATTTGTCTTGTTTGCACTTCCTTCCAGCCAGGAGATTTGTTATATTTTCCAAGAGGAACTATTCATCAAGCTGACACACCTCCTGGGATATCTCATTCTACTCATGTGACCATCAGCACCTATCAGAACCAGTAAGCACCCTGTATATGTTGCTAGTTTAGGTTTCTTGCTCAGGACAGTGAACTGAACAAATCAGTGATTTTGTTAGCTAAAATGCTTTGCTTTGAGTGAAAGTGGGCAGAATCCTGACATGATGAGAATTGGAAAATTGCTGAGAATGACAATTTCTTTAACTGCTCATCACATCCTTAGGTTCCAATATAGTTATCCCATGTTAGATTTGGGGAATTGTTCCTCCTTGTATTTGTTCAGAAAGGATTGTGAAACTGCATTTTTTGATCTAGATTTTGTGACTTGTTCTAAGGTTTTTATTTAACTTGCTGTCTCATTTGTAGCTTTGTGTTTTTGGACATTTTCTTTATTTTACATATATTTTCCTTATGTATGATGCTTATAGGTCAGCTGATGTGATAACCCCTGTGCAATATGTTTGTCTCCCTGGGCACTGATA